ATTGACCTTTTGGAGGGAGGAATATTTATATGTAGATTATACATTACTTACTGAGGCCGGGCACGGTGGCTCACACTTGTAATCCCAGCATTTTGTGAGGCCAAGGCGGGCAGATCACCTGAGGTCAGGAGTTCGAGACTAGCCTGGCCAATATGGTGAAACCCTGTCTCTACTAAAAATACAAAAATTAGTTGGGTGTGGTGGTGCACACCTGTAATCCCAGCTGTTTGGGAGACTAAGGCAGGAGAATCACTTGAACGTGGGAGGCGGAGGCTGCAGTGAGCCAAGATCGCACCTCTGCACTCCAGCCTAGGTGACAAGAGTGAAACTCTGCTTCAAAAAAAAAAAAAAAGATCTCTTGCATCCAAGTTGGTTCATTTGCTTCCCCTGTCCTTTATACCAGGGGTCACTAAACTGTAGCCCCATGGCCATATCTGGCCCACTGCCTATTTTATAAATAAAGGTTTGTTGGAATACAGCCATACTTACTCATTTATGTATTCTCTGTGGCTGCTTTTGCACTATAATGGCAGAGTTAAGTAGTTTCAGCACAAATCATCTATCCCACAAAATCTAAAATATTTCTGAGTTTTTACAGAAGGTATGCTGACCTCTGCTTTATGCAGTAGTTGTCATAGTTTTTACATCTACATCTTATAGCCCCAAATAAGATTTTACTTCAAATAGGTTTTGCTTTTAACACTTCTGTGCATTTTGAGGAAACTAAAATAAAAAATAGTATTTTATAATTACTCTCATGTATACCAGTTTGAGAGTCATTTTTTCCTGAAGATCCGAGTTTCCATCTGATTACATTTTCCTTCAGCCTGAAGAACTAACTTTAGTTTGGAGTGCGGGTCGATTGGGGATCAATTCTAGCTTTCTGTTATATGAAATGTCTGTTCTACCTTCATTCTTGAAGGACATTTTTGCAGGATACAGAATTTTAGATTGACGGGTTTTTTTCTTTTATTAAGGACTTCACTGCCTGCTGGCCTCCATTGTTTCTGTTGAGAAATCAGTAATGGTCATTTGAATTGTTCCCTTGTATTCAATGTGTCATTTTTTCCTGGCTGCTCAATAGTTTCTTCGTCTTTGGTTTTCAACCATTTGATATATCCAGGTGTGGTTTTCTTCGTATTAATCCTGCCTGGTGTCTGCAGAGCTTCTTGAATCTGCAAACTTAACACCTTTCACCAGGTTTGGGAAATTTTGACCATTATTTCTTCAAATATTTTTTCTGCTCCATTCTTTCCTCACTGTCTGCAAATTCAGTTACTTATGTTAGAACTTTTTATTTGTCCCATGTGTTCCTAAGGCCATGTTCACTTTTTTGCAATCTTTTTTTGTGTTCTTTTGATTGCTGATTCCTATTTATCTGCCTCCAACTTCACTGATTGTGTTCCTGTTATCATCATCCTGCTCTGAAGCCCATCTAGTGAGACTTTTGATTTTTTTTTTTTTTTTTTTTAATAGAGATGGGTTCCCATCATGTTGCCCTGGCTGGTCTCAAACTTCTGGGCTCAAGCGTTCCTCCCACCGAGCAGTGTATGAAT